AGGACAAGAGACCCAAGTCTTTGTCTCAGCTTTGCTACAAGCTTTTTGTGACAGCTCAGAGAGAGTTTATTTCCTCCCTCTGGGGCTGTTCCAGTTAGGGAGCTAGAGGGGTACTACAGTTTGAATCTGAATGTTCCTGAAATTGGTCTCCAACCCCTGACATCACTGGGAGGTGGTAGCACCTTTGGGAGGTGGGGGCCTAGTAGAGGAAAGTCAAGTCACTGGGAACATGCCCTTTAWGTGGGTATTTGGATCCTACCCGCTTCCTCTCTCTCTTGCTTCCCAGCTGCCATGAAGTGAGTGGGCCTCCTCTGTCACATGCTCGCACCATGATATACTGTGCTGTCATAGGCTCAAAACAACAGGGCCAAGTAACCATGGCTGAAATCTCTGAAATCCTGATCCCAAATCAAGCTTTTCCTTGACTGATTATATCAGGCATTTTGTTAAATAATGGAGAGGTGACTTCCATAGGAGGCCTCTGAGTGACCCCAACATTTACTTCTGCAAACATTTATCCACTGACTACATTCAGTCAATTTCTCACTGAAGACTTGTTCCAGGTCTCCTGGTGTTTGTATTATGTCCTTTATATMAAGACGCTAGAGATTCAGAGAGAAATCAAAAGCAGAGGTTCAAAGAAGAGAGAGAGCAACAAACAGATTATCCCATAGGACTAGGCACATGGATACGCATACTGAAGAGAAATCAGACAGATGCGGGGAGCCCAGAGGAGGCCACAATTAGTTCAGCTCTGGGAAGAGTTTTTAAGAAAGTGACCTTGGAGGAAAAGGAGGAGAAACGCTGCCCAGGGACCTGCCCCTTGGCTTGTGCTCTGTGGATTGGATTCTTTGGGGGAACTGCCTCTTTGGGGTTTTATATTTCTCTTTTGGCCTTCTGCAAAACTCTGGTTTTAGTCCTTCCCCTTCAAAGCTGCCTCTCCAGGGCTGCCTGGGTGATCTTTCTAAAAGTGACTTCCTGTTGCCCAACTTCAAACTCAAGTTCTTCAGCCAGGTAGTCAGGTTCTTCTCAACTGGCACTGGAGGCTTCTTCCAGCCTCTTAGCCAGTTACTATCCCCCGCAGCCTTTGTTCAGCCACATTAGACTATGCTAATGCCATATCCTCTGCTCTGAGCCTCTGCTTATGTTGTTCCTTCTGCCTAGAATACTCTTTTTCCCCTAGGAAGCCTTCCTGGAAAACAGGCTGCAATTGGAACTTCCTCTTATGTACTTTCATAATACTTTATATGTCATTTCAATTATTACATCTAGCACTTTATACTGAAAAGGATCTATGAACTCCTTTCAGTCAGGAATTCTATTTGCATTATTTCTTAAAATGAAGAAGGCCGGCCGCTTGGCAAAGGTATCATTACTAAGCAAGTAAATAAACGGAAGAAAGAGCTCTATTGAAAGGAAGAGGATAGACTTAATTAAGTTCAAGATATTAAAATATTAACCTTTCCTTTATTACTCTTATTTACCCAATGCATTAGGCCCATAAGGTGGGAAAAGGAAGAGGAAGCAAAGTGGATTGGRGTAGGTTTGGTTATTTGGCCCTGCGTACGTAATGATTTCAGTACTGTTTTGATCTGTTTTCTGTTGCTGTAACCAAAGAACTGAATCCAGCTAATTTATAAAGAACAGAAGTTTATTTGGCAAAGGGTTCTGGAGTCTGRGAAGTCTAAAAGCATGGCTCCAGCTTTTGCTTGGCACCTATTAAGGGCCTTCTTGCTGCATCATAACATGGCTGAGCATATCACATGGCAGAGAAAGCCACTAATACCATCATGGAAGGCCGCCCACTCTCATTCTCTCATGTAATCTTAATTATCTCCCAGAGACCCTACCGCCAAATAGCATTAATGTATAAATGTGGGGATTAAGTTTCACTTGTAAGTGGCTAAAACTAGTTTTATGTTAAAATAGTCATATAATAAAATAGATTCAAATCCAAATAATGTAAAAATTTTTAGAATAAGCCATATGAAAATGACARGTAATGTTTATTGAACACTTACTATGTCCAAGATAGTTTATAACCTTTTCTTGAATGTTTTGCAAGCAATAGGCTATTTGATTTCTCCCCATATCTCCAGGGGTGGGAGTTCCAGGTCTTCTAATTTTTGTAGTATGTCTGAGTTGGGTTGTGTACTTGAAGCCTGCATTTCCAGCAACCAGCAGTCAGCCTGTGCAGAGTTGAACCTCAGTAAAATCTTGTAGAGATAATTGATCCTTCAGTCTCCACTCCACTGTGAAATCTGACTCTCAACTATTTTTTCTTTTGGCTTCCACTGTCCCTGGGCTTCCTTCCAATCCAGCACTGAGCAACTGGAGTATCACKTTTTGTATACTTACTGGATCTTCAAACAAGGAGTGGGCAGCTCCTCTAGGATCTGGGTTTCCCAGCACCTAGCAAAAGGTTTGACATAGAGAAGCTCTCTTGGACATTTGTTGAGTGTCAATTACTATTCACAAGGGATCTTCCCAAAGGAGGAAGTAATTCTGTGCACTCTTTCTAGGCCCATTTTCTTAACTTGTAGAGTGGGCTGAATGATGGCACACTCTGTTCTAACCCCTGGGACCTGTGAATATGACGTTATTTGGAAAAGGGTATTTGCCAGTATAATTCAATTAAGGATCTCAAAGATGAAATCTGGATTATCTGGGTGGGCTCTAAATCCAATAACAAATATCTTTATAAGAGAAAGAAGACACAGGAAGAAGAGAAGCTCATGTGGAGATAGGGGAAGAGATTATGTAGACAGAAGCCAAGGAATTCTTGGAGCCACCAGTGGATAGAAGAGCAACAAAGGAGTCTTCCCTAGAGCCTCTGAGAAAGCACCTTGACACCTTGATTTTGGACTTTTGGCCTCCAGAACCCTGAAAGAATAAATTCATTTTAAGCTATCTAGTTTGTGGTAATTTAATTTGGTGGCTTCAGGAAATGAATACAGCTTAGAAACAGCTTAGATTTCTGTGAAATCCCACCAGATCCTGGCACCACAGAGTTGAACTAAATTGAGATTTGGGATTTTATAACTACTTTCTTCTCAACAAACACCTGACCACACACCCTAGGCTCCCACCATGATTCAGAATAGGAGGCGATGACATCTGTGTGATGCAGCTCTGAGATTAGATCCAAGGTGTTTTTCAGATAGTATGTTTGCCTTTTTAATTTTTTTTTTTTAATGGTACTCTGGTTTGAACCCAGGGGCTCACACATTTTTAGCATGTGCTCTAGCACGGGGCTACACCCTCAGCCCACTGGGGAAAAAACCCACAAAACTTAAATGCATCTATTATATGTCAGTTGTTACAAGGGCTTGTGACATACATTAATAACTTAAACCCCATAGCAACCCTATTACTATTTTACAGATGGGAAAACTAAAACTGAGAGTGGGAAATGGACTTTTTGTGTTACCTAGAGGGTGGCAGAGCCAAGATTCTCAAAGTGCCTGATTTCTGTTGTGTCTGACTCTAAAGCATTGTGTTCTTTTTGCTACATCAGTCCAGGTGGTGTAGGAATTCAGTCTGGGGGGAGAAGGCACATCAGTATCCTGCAGAATGACTCAGTGCTATTTATTTTAGAAGCAATTGCATATAGATTCTACCATTAAGATCAAACAAATCTTCACGGAAGAGAAGGCATTTGAGCTGTTTGTTTACATCGAAAAAACATTTCCTTATTCTCTGTCAGCACTGAATCCAGGGATGAATAAGGAAACGTCTTCTTGCTAGAGGGATTCAGAGAGAGAGAGAGAGAGAGAGAGAGAGAGAGAGAGAGAGAGAGAGTGTGTGTGTGTGTGTGTGTGTGTGTGTGTGTGTTGGGGGGGGGCGCTCGGGATTGAGAGTAGCGATTGGTAGTATGTGTTAAACATGCCTATTAAAGGACAAGGCAGCTGGGCGAGGTGGCACAAGCTTGTAATCTCAGCGGGCCGGTAGGCTGAGCCTGGAAGATCACACGTTCAAAGCTGCCCTCAGCAACTTGGCAAGACCCTGTCTTAAAATAAAAAAAAGGCCTGGGGGTATGACTCGGTGGTTAAGCGCCCCTGGATTTAATCCCTGACACTTCCCCCCCCACCCCCTCCCGCCAAGAAACAACAACAACAAAATCCCACAAAAAACCCAAACCCCCAAACAATGCAATAGAATAATCAGGACTATGGTATAGGAAAGGTTTCTAACTCAAGGTCCCAGCAAAGATTTGGTGGGTAAGCAAGTTTTAGGGAAAGAAAAGTAGCAAAGGGTTTCCAGGGACAGCAGAAGCAACTCATCGGTATAGATGAAACAGCGTTCAGGGCAGTTGGCACACCTTTTGGCTCCAGAGTACTAGTTAGTGGAGTGCGAGGAGGGGCGTGGACTCGAGGGTAGAGTTGGTCGTGAAAGACTGGTGGGACTGCCGGACAGGACTCTGGTTTCATTCATCTTGCGTGGTAGTTCTCTGCTAAACTATAAAGCATTCCTTTTTCGTCTTCGCACGTTGATTATAACATCTCGGCAAAAGACTGCTTAAGGAGCCTGCAATGACTCTTCTCTAGCCTAGAGGGTCCCCGCCCTCGACCGGAGGCCTGTTACCATGACAACTAGGTCAGGGCGGAAGTGGCTCAGAAGACTGATTCTCACTAATCAGGTGACGCTCCAGCCTTCTGCACGTGACTCCGGAGCTGAGGCGCGCGCTCTACCTAATTAAGACTCCGCCCCTCTTCCTTTACTGACAATTGGCAGCAATCTTGAGCAATGGCCTTTGCAGCACCCCAGGAGGCTCCGCCCCTTACTAGTGAAAGAACCAATAAAAATAGGACAAAATGAAGCAACGCCCCAAATTTCATCCCGGCTTGACAGACGCAATTGAGGCCATCCTGAAGCGCCTCCGCCCCCAGCCCATTCCGGCCGGCGACGGACTGACCTGTTACCCAATAGCAAGTCCCTTCGCTGCCGTTGGGTCCCGCCCCTGTAAGAACGGAACCAATGAGTGGGCCAGGTCTCAGCCCGGTGGAGGGGGTTGCACTGCGGTAATATGGCTCTTCCTTAGCCAGCGGCAGCGGCCAGCGCGGGGACAGAGCAGTCCTGCCTCTCGGGTGGAGGGTTGTAGGCAGCAGGGGCTCGGAGGGTCGTGGGTACGAGGCAGCGGCGGATGCGGGAGGAGCGCCCGTCCCGCCGCCTGGCGGCCGCTGGGTCAAAATGAGCTCCTCAGCGTCGGTCGGGGGCCCGGTCCCGCCGCCGCCCCCGGGCCCGGCCGCCGCGCTGCCGTCAGGTTCTGCCGCGCGGGCCCTGCATGTGGAGCTGCCGTCTCAGCAGGTAAGCGCGTCTGCTCGCGGTGCTCAGTAGGGACGGGGAAAGGCCCGCGTGGAGACTCGGTGGCTCCGGCTGACTCTGCGTTTGCCGGGAGACTCTGGGAAGGGGCCGGGGAACTGAGGTGGGCTGTCAGGAGGTCTTGAGGGGAGGGGTCCAGCGATGGCCGAACCTCTGGGAGATCCCTGTGCCCCTGGAGAATCCCAGCACCGCAGATGAGCTTGTGAGGAGACCTCACAGAGCCAGCCAAACTCCCCTAGGGCTGCCGGGCCCCTCTCGCCTTGTAGGGATGGGGGATTCCCTTGCACAGACCCTCCTCTCACCCCTCCTGGGAACGCACCGGAGAAGCCCTGTGCCCCAGGAGATGCGGCGAAGTGCTTTTCCTTTCCGTCCCCACCCGGAGAAACCAGTTGGTGTTCTGCTGCTGGAACAGCGAGGAGTTAGGGTTTCTCGCACTTACTCTCATCTCCCTTTACTACGAAATGCTCTCCTCCGTCTCTCTAGAGAAATGTGATTGGAACTTGGAGGTTTCCTTTCTAATTCTCAGACCCCCAAGGAATTCGACTTAGTAATAAAGAGTACTCTTTGCTACTTCATTCCCTCCAGTGACTCTTTGGATGGAGGGACTTCTCTTTGAAGGCTTCTCATCCACGTTGTTGAAGGATAAGAAAGAGGGAACAAAAAATTTGGGGATCTGATAAAAATCTTGTGACATCCACAAATCTGTAGAGTTTTTTTTCCCTCCTATTGTCCTTCTTCTGTTCCCCAAAGGGAGTTTTTACAGAAATCTTAGCATTAATGAGAGTTAGAGTGTCTTTCACYTTCCCTTTATTCCTCCTTCCCAGAAACGGACCAAAACAAACTGTCAGTCATTGAGAGTTTACCATGCTGGGTTTGAGCAGAGTGCTCAGTGGTCATTAGCCATTGAATCCTCATAACACTGTGAGATAGCTGTTTCTGTTATTCCCATCTTGCAGTTAGAGAAATGGGGACTTTTTCCAAAGCCTTCCTGTTAGTAAAGGCAAAAGGTTTATACCATCTGAGAGAAACCAGAGTATAAGCCTTGCTGTTAGTGAGTGGTGGGACTGGCTTTCAGAATCCAGTGTCTGACTCTGTAGTCCCTGCACAGCATTGTTTGCTTGAGGCTTGAGCCACCTTCACTCATACCTTCACATAGGACAGAGCAAGTTCCTTCATACTCTTTCTGTAACTTTCCATCCCGGCTCTGGGGCCTTAGGAAGGGTTCGTAAAGAAGAAAGCAGCAGTTGTGGGGAGAGGGTGAGATTGGAATGAATCTTATAGGAAAGCAGGGGACTAAAGGGAAGAGAAAAGTTGAGATAATAGTCACAGTGGTGGCCATTGAGAAGGGAGGTAGAAATGTTTGCAGAAGCAAAGCTGTGGTAGGAGAGGATTTAAAAGAACAGGGTAGCATGTGCCCTGGTTTTGTAGTGGTGTTGGGCAGGGAGTTTGTGGAGGATCTTAGGAGTTTGAGGGTAGTGAAGTTTGGATTGTATTATGAAGTCTTGGGAGAGGGTACAAATGTGGTTGGGAAGATAGGTCTCTGAATTGAGCTTGAATATGAATTTTTGGGTGTGTGAGAGAGTGAAGGTGGACTATAAAGGTGGATATTGGGAGAGGCAATGTTGGGTACTTTTAGAAAAAGCATGGAGAAATCCTGAGGAGTTGGGATCAAGAAAGGTTTAATTTGGGGGAGATTTGAGAATTTGTGGGATTAGAAAAGAGAAACCATCATTTACTTGATAAAGTCTGTTTTCTGATAACAGTTCACAGTTTAACACTAGGAGAATAATCTGAACAAACTGTTCATGGAATAAATTGGACCGCATTTGTTAGTGTTTATCACAGTTTTGGATTGATGCCAAGGGATATATAGTGGCTTGAGTGTGCAGCTGAATGCTGCAGGAGTGCTGAGTATGCTATTTACAGCTTTCTGGGGGTGTCATCCTCGAATTCTTGGAAGGCAGCCTATATAACAAAACACTTTTACTTTTGTAGTTGATATTAATTTAGCTTTCTGGATCAAAATGTTCATCTTTTTAGGGTATGAATATATACCATTAAAAATAAACATTTTTGTTGATGTGTTATCTGTATAGAGTTAAGTGCACAGATTATTAGTATACCCCTTGCTGAATTGTCACAAAGTGAGCACAGTTATATAACTATTATCCAGATTAAGAAATGCAGAATTATGAACATTCCAGAAGTTGTTCTTGTGTTCTCTCCCTTTCCTTTCTTTCCAAAGGAACCACTTTGATTTCAGAAATCAGTTTTTGCCTGTCTCAGAACTTTATGTATTATTTCAAAAATGTAGATAAATTGAAGAGTCAATTATTGTCTTTAGAACAACACTTTGAAAATTGTGCATGTCAATACTTCCCATGCTTGCTGACAGGGTGTCAGTATTTCTAAACAAATAAACAAAGCTTGTTGATTTAGGACTTCTGCGATAATCTCAAAGTAGATTTCAGTGGTCCCCTAGCCTACTTGAAGGTTGAGTTTCTAAGACATGGCATCATCAACGTTTTGGAACAGAGCAGAGGATATAAGATGTTTAACCACATCCCTGGACTCTGATTCCAGCAGCACCTCCCCAATCCCGATGATAAAAAAATGTGTTCACATGTGGCCACATGTCCTACAGGGAGACAAAACTACCTCTGATTAAGAAATACTGTTCTAAGGCATATTTTTTATTTTAGGATAGAGTATCCCTGCTATTTTATACTTATTTATTCCAACTTTATTAAGTCCCATTGATTCTAAAAGTAATTGTAATATTGAAAATATTAATTTACTATATAACATGAATTCCAAAAATATTAGACTTCTCTTGCCTCATCTGCCTAAAGAGATTTGTTTTTGCTCACAAAACTATATATAAGACCTGATTTATTTGTCTTATTTTAATTTGCTTATCTTAAAAAAGTCACCACTAACTCCTGGACCTTTGTCTTAACGTGTGAGTACTAGCTATCATGCAGATCAGCTCCTCTACTAGGTCAAGCGGCACTACTACTTTGTTTCCCTTTGCTTTGGTATGTTCTTACTTTTAATTGTAATTTAAGCATGAAGTAGTCATACAATTTGAAGACTCTTTTTGCTCTTTAATTTTTGGTTGAGGTTTGTATTTAACAGGTGAATGAACATAGGCTCAACTGAAGAATAACTCCCTTTACACCCTTAGATGTAGGAGTCTTGGGATAAAAATTTGTGTTTTTGTGGTAGAAGCATTTAGTATGTTCTTAAAAGCTTAATTGGGAGAATTTCTTTCCTCCCCAAAGGCTTCCTCTCTTGGGTGTAACTTAACTACATTCCTCAGATATTCAGTATCTTAGGAGGTTTTTTAGTGATTATTTAGTAACCCTTTTCGAAGGTCACATGTTTCTTTAAGATTCAGTAAAAGCTGTGGACGCTTTTCTTAGAAAATATGCTTACATATATTTTGCATGCAGTTTTAATCCCCTTGAAGTATAAATGGAAGACCTCAGAATTAAGTATTTCTAACTTGGTTTAATTCCTTCTTTTTTTTTTTTTTTTTTTTTTTTTTTTAAAGAGAGAGTGAGAGAGGGGAGAGAGACACAGAGAGAGAGAATTTTCAATATTTATTTTTTAGTTCTCGGCGGACACAACATCTTTGTTGGTATGTGGTGCTGAGGATCGAACCCGGGCCGCACGCATGCCAGGCGAGCGCGCTACCGCTTGAGCCACATCCCCAGCCCCTAATTCCTTCCTTTTAACAAGTTTTAAAATTCAAATATTATTTTTTGGACAGTTTTCTATATCAGCATACATACATGTCACATTTTCCATGATTTTTTTTAAAGTAACGCCCTATTGATAGACTTTTGGACTATTTCCAGCTTTTCTCTATTACATCGTCGCAGTGAATATCCATATACAGAAATCTTTGTAGTCAAAAGAATGGGTGTGTGTGTGTGTGTGTGTGCGCGTGTGTGTAATGAAATATGGGTATATGTACACATGTTGTTATTTTATACTTGAGAAGATACTGGCTAAATGTTTCTGGAAAAGAATGTGCCTATTTACACTTCTACCTTTAAACTAATTAAAGGACCACATTTTTTCTTTTATTAAATTAGTTTTATTGAGATCCAGTTTGCTAATCACAAAGTTCACCCATTTAAGTATAAAATTGAACACTTTTTAGTATATTCATGGAGGTATTCAATCATCATCACAATGCATTTTAGGACATTTTCATCATCCCCCCAAAGAAACTCAGATTAATTAGCAGTTATTCCCTATTCAAGGGCCCACATTTTGGCCAACTTTGGGCATCATAAGTTTTCTCATCCTTTTCCAACCTGATTACATATATACAGATTACATACATATACACATATACATAGTTCATACACATCTCTATATATTTTTGTTATTTAAATTTTCAGTTCTTGGGCTGGGGATGTGGCTCAAGCGGTAGTGCGCTCGCCTGGCATGCGTGCGGCCCGGGTTCGATCCTTAGCACCACATACAGACAAAGATGTTGTGTCTGCCAAAAACTAAAAAAAAAAAATAAAAGAAAAAAAAATTCAGTTCTTTAGTTACTTGTTATATTTTAACAGCTCCATTCATTATATAACAGATAGCATGGTAAGTATGTGATCTCATTTATTCTGCCCATCCCTGTGAATCTGAATGTCTTTCCATTTAGCATTTTAATGTATTTTGAATTGCTTGTTCATGTCCTTAGCATTAATTTTTCTAATTGTTTGCTCATATTTTTTGTTGATTTGAAAAGTATTTTTTTCTTCTCTTGTTTTTGGAAGGAGGTGGGTTAGGGATATCAGTCTTTATGAACCTTGAATTTTAAAAATCAGACTTTTTTAAGAACAGTTTTAAATCTACAGAAAAATTGAGAAGATAGTATGGGAAGTTCCCATATACCTTACACCCAATTTTCCCTATTCTTTCTTTTTTTTTTTTTTTTTTTAGAGAGAGAGAGAGAACTTTTTTAATAT